ATTACAGGTAAATGTAAATGACAATATGTCCCAGTTAAATTAAGCAAATCTATATTGAAGAAAAATGTTACATTGGAACTATGYCCCAATAGCCAAGGTCAGTGATCAGTATGGGGGCATTATTATTAGGAAAACAGTCTGTACCTCCATTGAATTGTCATACATAGTTATACAAATAATAGAGATCAAGTTCCATGATAAACATTTGACTAAATAGCTGAGCCTGGGAAGAATAGATCTCAGCATATGCTATAACATTACTCAAGGCAGTAGGGAATCTTAAGCTATAGAAAGCACTTTTCCCTGAATATCTTCCAGAGCATACCCACCAGAAAACAATGGCAAAGTAGTTTCCCACTTTTTAGTGAATACCACCACCCTCAACAAGATGAWACATCCAAATCACATACTTCTAGCAATTAAATTGAGTGGTCAGATAAAGTTAACAGAAAAAGTAAGGTTTGAGCTGAGGCCAATGGCAGAAAGTTATCCATGAAACTATCTGGAAACTGTTCCAATAAAAGGAACTCTTAATTGCTAAAACTCTGGCAGGAAAGGGGTTGGCATATGAAACATAGAAGCCCATTGTGGTTGCTATGCAGTGCATGTTTCTACTTAGTCCATGTTTCCACTTAGAATTCTTACTAGAGGCATACATATGAATGAATATTTATTGCAGTATTCTGTGCATTAACAAACTAAAAAATAAATGACTTAAATAACTATCAATAGGGAGTGGATAACAGTAAGAAAAACTATATTGTGAAATAGAGAATTATACATGTTGATAAGAATATATAACATATTAAGTTGCAGAATATAATACTTATCACAATATGTTTGCATCACAAAAGTATATATATGTAATTAATTGTATACATGAAATAAATGGATGGAATAATACATATCAAAATGTTAAAGAGTAGTTTACCTTAGAAAGTTGATATGAGAAGAATGTTAGTGATTTTTTATAGAATCTATTATTTAAAATTTTAAGAGTCTCATTTTAGTATTTTAAAAGAGTAATTTTAAAAATGTTCTTCAAAACATCTGTTCATAAACACAGGAATACTGAAAACTGTAGTTCTACTGTATACCATACTGATTAAGCCAAGTAATTTGTGAGAAAAGTTAGTCTCTTACAGTAACTCAATATTTACTTGGTTCCCAGTCTTCAACTAAGTCATTCTCTTTTGAAATTTTTATAACAGATAATTACTCATCATGGAGGTTTTTTATTTAAATGCTAATGCAAAGCTGTTCAAARTAAATCAAATAAACGATATAGTTATGGTAGTAACTTGAGCCAATGTATTTATACTACAGATATATTTGAAGGAAACTTCATTTCTGCTATAGTAATTTATAAGCTTATTTAGAAAATTACCTAAATTTGAAATCAATCAACCATATATAAATAGCTGTTTCTTCAAACACTTTTCTACTGTTTAAGTCACTCTTTAACTCAAATAATTATTAAATACCTGTTATGGTTCATGCCATAATGAATAGACAATAAAGTTTCCTTTTATTTTTCACTTACTGTATTCCAGGCATTACTCTATTGTTCACTTAACATATTCCAGGTATTAAGTAAGTCCTCTATATGATTAACAGTCAGTGACCCTACAGCCCTATGAGGTAGGTAATATTATCATCTCCATTTTAGACATAAGAAAATTGAGACAAATAGATTAAGTTGCCCAAGATCCACAACTAATAGATCACTGAGCTGGGATAATAATATGTAGGTACTACATCTCTTTTTTAAAAATATACATTTTTTTAGTTGTAGTTGACACAATACCTTTATCTGTTCATTTTTATGTGGTATTTTTGAACCCAATGCCTCACATATGCTAGGCGAACACTCTACCACCAAGCCATAACCCCGGCCCCTAGGTACTACATCTCTTAACCTTAAGATTTTAATCTCTGTATTATACTTTAGTAAGTTAACTGTGACTAATAGGATACTTAAAAAAGAATGGCTTTGCCATATGCCAGTAAAATGGATGTATCTGGAGACTATCATGCTAAGTGAAATAAGCAAAAAACCAAAAGTCAAATGTTTTCACTGATATGTGGAAACTAAACCACAATAAAGGGGAGAGGGGAAGAAGTTCAGTAGATTAAAGGGAAATGAAAGGAAGGGAGGGGAATAGAAAAGAGTAGAATAAATCCAACAGTTTTGGGCTGGGTTGTAGCTCAGTGACAGAGTGTTTACCTAGCATGTGTAAGGAACTGACTGGGTTCAATCCTTAGCACCACATTTAAAAAAAAAAAAAAAAAAAAAAAGGACTGGGGATATAGCTCAGTTGGTACAGTGTTTGCCTCACATGCACAGGCCCTGAGTTCAATCCCCAGTGCCACAAAAATAAGTAAATAAACAAATACAATAAAGGCAAACTATAAAACTAGAAAGAAAATGTTTTAAATCTAACAATTTTCCTATGTACACATATGAACATACCTATGTGAATTCCGCCACTATGCCCACCCACAATGGGATCCTAATTAGAATAAGATATAGTTCATGCTTGTATAATTTTATCAAAATGGATTCTACTTCCATGTCTAATTAAGAACCAATAAAAATAAAAGAATTATTGAAACAAAGATTTAAAAAATTAAAACATGTCTCTCAGTGAATTTATACAGTATTGGGGGATATGAGCAACAGGTTAACTTAYATTTTACTATGAAAAGTGCATGCTAGAGTACGCATGGGATTATAGTTACTAAATGTGAGAAACATCCACATCCATATCCAGTGTTGTGCAATGACTAAAAGTGGGAAGCACAGAGTACAGGCAAAGCCACAAGAGTCACTTAAACTAGATATGAGGTCAAGAAAAACTTGCTGTATAGTTGAGACTCAGAGTCTTCCAGGTAGAGTAAACCACCTTGTTAAAAGGCACTCAGGTCCAGGTGAGGAAGAGTAAAAACTCCTTGAAAAAAAATGTAACTAGGTTCAGGATGGATTAACAGTATAGTAAAGGCATGTGGTGAACTTAGGCTGAAGAGGTAAGTGGAAAATTCATAATCTTACACATTTTCTTAAGAGACATAAAACTTCAACCTGAGAGCAAAAATGTACCAYCCAAGATTTCAGACATGGAAATGACATGATTAAATGTTAGAAAGATCATTTGGGGCCAAGGATGTGCAATAGTGTAAGCCTGCAATCCCAGCTCCTCAGGAGGCTAAGGCAGGAAGCTCATTAGTTGGAGGCCAGCCTGGGCATCRGCAAGATTCTGACTCAAAAATTTAAAAAGCTGGGGATGAGAGACATAGCTTCATAATTGAGTGCCTGCCTAACATGTGAGGTCCTGGGTTCAATCCCTAGTACTGGGGGGGGGGGGAGCAGATGGTAAAGTGTTTATACACACACACAGGAAGCTATTGTCATTTACTAGGCAAGAGACAAAATGGCTTGAAATAAGACAATAGCAGTGTGATTGAATGGCTAAATGCTCTTTATAAAGAGGGAAAGGCAGAAGTCAAACCTTATAGCCCAAATTTCTAGATTCAACAGTTGGGGATGATGGTAGTGGCATTTATTTTCACTGAAATACAAGAAGGGCAAGTTTTCAGGAAAAGATGAGTTCTGTTTTGAAAATGTAGAGTTGCAGTACCTGAATGATACTTTCATGTGATTCCAGTAAACAGTTGAATATACTAAATCTGAAGCTCAGAAGAGATCAGGCTTAGAAATGTGGATTTGAGAATCAGCAGTTAATAACTGAACAGTGAGATCAGTAGGCTATTCTGTTAATGTAACCAGCATCTTTTCAATTTTGATGAAACTTAGCTGTCACTGAGTCATAGGAACTTTCTTGAGATCTTGATAATTATCTGATAAAAGATCCACTGGAAAGCCAAGTAAGATAGTAAGGTTTCCTATGTTATCTTATTAAATAGTAGCAAATTACCTAGATGTACTAAAATTGGAATTTGTCTCCTACCACAGTAGCATGTTAAGAAAAYCTGCTTTTTATTATTTTCAAAAAAGAAAAATTCCAAAACCTAAATATTGAGGGAAATCTTATTTAAGCATCCATTCTATATTGAAGTCTTAAACTTGTAAAAAAAAATTTTGGTAAAACAAAATGATGATCAGCTGTGAGAAAAATTACCCCTGTGAAAGTTCCAAATATCAGCAATTATGATTATAGACTTGAAGTCTGGTTAATTTTTTTTTTTTTTTTGTAGTTCTGGAGATCAAGCACAGGGCCTTGTGCATGCATGTGAGGCAAACACTCTACTAACTGAGCTATATTCCCTTCCCTGGTTAAATTATTTTTAAAAACACCTCATCACTAATGGTTCCTGACAAACAGAAAATTTAAATGAGCCTAAACATACTTACTTCAACACATCCACTAAGGCTTTTTATATACCAACCTGTCAGAAATGTAACAATTCCACATTTTATCACTGATTTTTTCCAATATAGCTCTGAAGAAGAGGCTTTTGAGATTGGCAAATTTAAGTGAATAYGAAAATTAAGAAAATTTGATTACCAGACCACTGTACTTACTTCTTCGTGGGCAATTTTGATGAAACAACTTTATCCCTTTAGTTATCATATTAAATAATAGAAGGAATTAAATCGAAAAGAATTAGGAATAGAATCTTAGTCCCCACCAATGGAACTGTTCATTAGACTGTCATTGCTTTGTTTMCAGTATTATATRGAGATAAGCTTAAGGTTAGTGCTTTTTGAAAAGGGCAGAAACAAACCTGCATCTATAAAAATTAGGATAGTTTACGAAAGCTATTTACCTATGTTCCCCAACTCCATATGTAACAGGTGTATTGGAACCTTATAAAGCAGATGGTGTTTCCCAATTTCTTTGCCCCTACAACATTCCTTTTTCTGAAAACCCAACAGAACTGCTTCTTTACCTGCAAAATAGGATCACATTCTTCAGTCCTTAAACTCCACCAAGAACCCACCTTGATTCCCACCACCCATGAAAGAACAAGATACATTATAACATGAAAATTAGTTGCTTTTATTTACTATTAGAAACAATTTTATGAAAATGACTTGCATCCCTTCATGTGAGGAATTGCTTTAAGAAGCTAAGAAAATAGGTAATGTATAAAAAACATATGTAAATAGCTGCCAACAGATCAATTTCTTCCTATTGATCTCAGATAGCAAAAGAGAAAATAACAGCTTCTGTAAAATAAACAGGAGCAAGTCCTGCAAATGAAACTATGATTAAAGCTAAATTGTTCAAATCACTGATTTTATGACTTTCCAAAAGCAACTGTCTATGCAATCTTACTTCCTAAAGAATAAACACATAGCAAAGTAGCTCTTAAAAAAAAAAAAAAAAAAAAAACTTCTGAGATAATTCAACATAACTTCTAACATTAGAGGGAATGGGAAGTACTGAAAAGTCTTAATAACCAAATGATGAAACCAAGACCTTCCAGTCTCAGGACTGAAATTAAGTATCAATACTCTTCATCACTTCTCTAAAAGTGATTCTAGTTCTTCTTGCAAAGAACTAAGCTGCTCCTTTTCTCGGTCTTCCTTTTGTTTGAGTTCATCTAACACAGCCTGGAACCTGTTCTTGAGAGCTAGGTTTTCCACTTTCATGATGAGATCCTCTTGTCGTTTTGCTCTGTCCTGGGTCTCTTGGAGCTTGCCTTTCATGTTATCAATCTGTTTCTGAATTCCCATAACCAGTTGATTGGTTCCTTCATTTTCTTGATGTTGTTCATCTGATTCATTTAGCTTATCCTGTAGCTGTCTCTCCAGATCTTCTTCAGTGTCAATGATGTTTATATCTTCTTCATCTTGATGTTGTGTCTCATCTTCATCTTCACTGCTGCTGCTGAGATCATTGAATATCTCTCGAAGCTCATCATGTTCCAATGAGTCATGGCCCTGTCTATGGCCAGACATTCCTGGAGAGGAGATATCAAGGCCTTGATTTTCTGTCTCTTTTGTTTCATCTTCAGCAATTATTTCCCAACGAGTACTGACAGCTTCAGCATCTGTACTCAGCAACCGCTTCACTTCTTTTTCCACATCTGGAGATTCAATATACTTCTTCTTTGCTGTCTTCCGGAACCTTCTCTTTCTGACATTTTTCAGTGGCAGAGTAATTCCATGGTTCCAGACAAACTTTTTCTCTTTGTCCTTATCTTTTTTCTTGTTTGCTTTGGGATCAGTAGTAGCAACTGGTTCTTCCACAGGAGGATACAGGTCACCATCAACTGTGGATACAAGCATCTGACAGATATCAGCTGTCTTGTAAAAGGTTTTCTTGTCAATGGTTTTCAAGCTTTCCATAACACACGGCAGATCTACCAATTTTGAGGCCAATGGAACCCGGTCCACTCTAACAATTCCATGACGGCCATCGGGGTGTAACTCAATTGTCAGTCTGTCCTTGAGGTTGACATGGCCAGACTGTACTGCTCTCCTCACTGTAGAGGCGTATTCTGGAGGTAGGCGTAAGATAAACTGGCTCTCTAGTTCATGAGGAGCGTCATCTTTGCTCTTACTCATCTTTACTTCTTTGTGGCTCACTTCTCCTCTAATAAACACTTGCTGCACTAAAAAGTTCCAGCTACTGCAACTGTTAAAAAGATCAGTGTGTTATGAACTGAAATCTTTAATTACAAGAGTTCTAAGTAGAAAAGCAGCTAAGCAGAATAGCAAACAAGCGTCTCAGTTGACTTAATAAGCCACAAGTCTTTTCTCTAAGGTAATAAGAGCACGGGTTGTTATTGACACTTTGGCTTATTCACAAACTTAAGTCTATTAGATGCAATGCCAAGTTCCAACCTCTAGATGCCGCTGCCGGACAATGCAGACAGAGCAAGCAAGACAGCAAGCAGAAAGCAAATGGCGGCTCCCGCGGAGTGGATTTTCGGCACAGAAAGCAAGGCCCAGCAAACAATCCCAATCCACAAACTCTCCCGGAATAAAAAATATTCAAAAAGCGGGGTGCAGTGAGCTTTCTTTGCCTCGGGTACTTACAATCCACTGCTGATTACACATTCAGCTTCTCTGCCCGGAGCGAAGCGAAAGAGGAAGCAGATGGGAGCAAAGCGCCCGTAGCTCTGAGCAGCAAAGCGTCCGGGAGCCAAGCGTCTCCTTTTCGATCTCTTTGTACTTCCTGCTGCTTGGCAAAGTGATCCGCTACAGATTAACGGTGAAAGGAGCTCTAACAAGCTGCGCGAAATCTCGCTTAAAGCCGCTGCTCTAAGCACCACGCTCAGCACTTCAGCAACCCCCGGTACGCAGCGGCGGAGAAGGAAGCGCTACGTCACGGCGCGGGGCGGGAGGCGGCTGATTGACAGCTCGGCCCAAGCGGAAGTATCTGCTGCCTCAGCGAGCGCAGGCGCAATGACGCTGTCCTGCGCAATCTCGTCTATTCGCGAGAAAACTTAAGTCAGAAAATGACTTTAGAAGAGGCTTGGGTTGGAAAATAAAAGATGTCTGTTCCAAGAAAGACAAATTTGCTCCCCGCTAGGTCAGCACTTTTACCGAATCGCCGTGGGGCAGAATAGCTTCCAGTCTTCCGGATGATTACCGGAGATAGGGGATTCTTGCAGAAAGCATCTTTGCTACTGGAAACATCTCAGATCCTCCCTTGGGTGTATCCAATCTGGTGCAGTACAAGAATTTGTAACTAACCACAAAATGGATTTTAAAGTGCCTGAACCAATGGAGTGATGAGGATTTGCTACCTACTATATGATTCTATATGTCTGTATTTTCTTAATTTTGAAATTGCCTGGAGGGGAACTAAGCCTCTAGGTTTATTTCTGTTTTGGAGGACTCCAAAGGACCAAAGGTGATTTTTCTTTTTAATGTGCTTGATTGAGCTATAAATGTAAACAGAGAAGTAAGTGTTCTTTGGGAAGCAGAGGTTCATTAAGGACAGAATTGTCTGATAGAAGGTCTGATTAAAGTGTTGTATATAATAGAAATATTATGCCTTGTCTCTCAAGTAACTTTTAAATTCCTTTGGAATATTTTTCACTTCAGCTTTATGGTTTTGCTGTTTTCTGCTCTCTGTTCTATGGATGTCAGGTTCTCATCAACATGTATTTATAATACTCTGGCATAACTGTTACAGCTTCCACTTCTTTATATCCATTTTCACTTTTTTTTTTGGATATGTTTGTTAGAGCATCAAAGACATTTACATTTTCTTCCCCAGCATGGKTAAAAAAAGTAATTTATATCCACTAAAATATTAATAACAACTTCATCTAAATCAATGTAAATCTTAAATGTGATTAAGATTTCCAAAATTCCCTATATTTTTATTTATTTACTTTTCTTCCTTATACTAGATTCAAGCCTCCTTGGTAGTAAGCTTTTCTGTATTGCTCATTGTGTTCCAGTGCCTAGTATGATAATATAGGAGATACACAGACCAAATTTTTTTGCTAATAGAATGAAACATCTGATCCATCTAGAAAGAACATGAATATAATCTAAATCCTACAATGATTTGTGAGAGAGAAGAGGTTCAATGTCACCTTAAAATTAGATCCACTTTTCTATAGATTTCCTCTCTAAGGATGGTGTCAATTGTTATGAGGAACTTGCAACCAGTTTGATTTTTATGTTGACTTTAAAGGAGAAATTATGACCTTTCAAGTAATTACATTATTTCTTTTTGTTCCATAAAGTGTTGAAGAATATTTTCTGTCTGCTTCATCTAAAGTTTCCAGGATGATCTATTTCTTCTCTTTTGAAGATGAAACTTTTTCACTTGTGCTTAATTATGTCTGATTTTACTTATTCTATGGATATTAGAGTTTAACTTACTAACCTATGCATAGTGCTTTACTTAACTGTATAAAATGTGAAACTATGCTTATACATGAAAATACTCAAAGTATTTAAAATTTTTTTTTAGTTGTAGGTGGACACAATATCTTTATTTATCTATTTTTATGTGGTGCTGAGGATTGAACCCAGTGCTTTATGCATGCAAGGCAAGTGCTCTACCACTAAGCTACAACCCCAGCCCTAATCCAAATGTTGGATTTTCATTTCTTATGAGTCTTATCATGCTCAAATATTTTTGTAATAGAAAGTAACTTGAAAATAAATTCTATGCCATTCTGATTGGCCAAATTTATGGCACATTTTAGTTAATTAATTTTTGAGATGGATGATTGTCAAAGATAATTAAAAGGAAACTAAAACTAAAGTTTTCCTAAAGTATCTKCCTCCTTCAATTCTGAAATATATTATCTGCTTTTGAGTTTTACAAATTTTCTAAATGCTGTCTTTTGGGAGAGTTATGTTTATGTTTACACTAAAAGTAAAGCCTCTGCCATATTACTATCATCTTAAAATATAGTTTTTCTTTTCCCCAAAATCCATTAGAAATACAGAAACACTCTGAATTGATGAAAGAATTACTCTACTGTGATTGTTCCATGAATATCTGTAAAACCAGTGAATAGAAGATTGGAGAGAGCAGTAAATTCCCCAGTGCAGTAACAAGTCTTCTGAAGGCTTCTTTTGTATTATTAAGGAGTATGACAGGACACTGCTAATCCTGTTTGAAAATTCTCTTTAATAAACTTTCAAGTTCCTTAAAGAGCTTCTTGTTCTTTGGAGATGATGGGAGAAGTACTGCTTATATTTGGGGGGTAGAAAATTATAGAAGTTAAAAAATAGTAAACATCCCTCCAAAAAGCAAGCTTCTCTATTGCTATATTACCATATACTTTAAAAGTAAAAAGCAGGTTAAAACAGTTCCTATATCAAGTAGATGCTTCTATCAAAAAATATAAAAACTTAACCAATAGTGGTTTAAACAATAAGAAAATCTATTGTCTCAAAAACCAAGTAGACTAGAGTATCCTGTCCAGTAAAAATCTAATGTGGGCTCCATACGTGAGCCACAGATGTAATTTTAAATTATTTAGGGAATGGGGGTGTAGCTCAGTGGTAGAATGCTTGCCTAGAATGCATGAGGCCCTGGATTTGAACCACTGCATCAAAATTTATTAATCAATTAATTGATTAGTAGCCACATTAGAGTGGTGAAAAGAAACAAGTGAAATTAATTTCAATAACTATAATCCAATATACCTAAAATACTAGTATAACAGAATTTATATAAAAATTATTATTGATACATTTTACATTCTTGTATTTTACTAAATCTTCAAATCTAGTGTGCATTTTACACTTATAACTCAGTTTAAAGTAGCCATGTTTCATGTGCTCAATAACCACATGTAGCAGTTGATTATCCTTGAAGAATAATTGCCTTGGGTCATGATACAATCATGACTAACACAAACTGTTTTTCTCTTCTAATTTTGAAGAATAAGTGTCTATTTACWCTTTTTTATTATCCTTTCAGTCTGCCCTCCTCTACTTATAAATGTCCAAGAGTTGTGGTCACAAGAAACATGTTGGCAGTGACTGAAAAACTCCTTAATAGTCCATGACAAGAGTAGCCTTCCCTAAACCAAATCTTTTGATTGGATTGCACTGACTTGGTCATGGATCTATCTATGACTCAATAATGCCTACTGAGAAAATATGCTATGACTTTCTTAAAATTGTGAGGTGATTATATTTGGTAATATTGAAAGACATTTTTGGCTGTCACAACTATGGGAATGGAATCTACTGATAACTATTAGGAAGAGGTCAAGGATACTGCTGAACATCCTAAAAGGCACAGAACAGTCCCCACACCACAACAAAGAATTAGCTGTTTCTAAATATTAGCAGAGTTGCCAGGCACAGTGGTGTACACCTGTAATCCCAGTGGCTCTGGAGGCTGAGACAGGAGAATTGTGAGTTCAAAACCAGACTCAGCAACAGTGAGGCACTAAGCAACTCAGTGAGACCCTGTCTCTAATAAAATACAAAATAGGGCCAGGGATGTGGCTCAGTGCTTGAGTACCCCTGAGTTCAAACCCTAGTACCAAAAAGGAAAAAAAAAAGAGTTGAGAGATCCTACATTAAGCTTATTATTTAAGCCTGTATCCCTCAGTGCTATCAAGAGGGATTCTTGGTTTATATTGATCAGAATCTACTACAGCTATGAATAGATTAAACTTCCCTTTGGGTATATGGAGGGTGGACACCAAAACTAAAAGGAAATATTAAAAGAAAGGAAAGGGCACTGACAAACCAATAATATCAATGAAATACAAAAAAAGGGCTGGGGATGTGGCTCAGTGGTTAATTGCCCCTGAGTTCAATACCTGGTACAAAAAAAAAGTATATACATATTGAAAACTATTAATAGGCATCAAATTTAAATTCTTATATCTAATTATATAATGCAATTACTGGTGACTTTAGTTTTATAAGTATTTTCTATCTTTTTATAGAGCAAATTTATTGTGTTGAACTTGTGGTAAACTTTTCTTTTAATAAATGTACAATTCTTTTTCAATGAATAATTTCTCTAGTAACTTTTTTTTTTTTAAGAAGAAGCTTCAGTATTATGTTGTCTTCTTCAAAAACAGAATATCAAGGTCTGGGGATGTATCTTAGTGACAGAGTGCCTGCCTAGCATGCCTGAGGCCATAGTTTGACCCGCAGCACAGAGGGCAAAAAAGAGACAAGTGGAAAAATTCTGCAAGAATCTTAAGTTAACATTTAATAAACTAAAACGTTTGGTTTAGATTCTGTGGAAAGACTTTTATTTTGTCCAACTTAAATCGTGATTTGCACCCTTTCATACTAAAGCAAATCAATTTGCACCCTTTCATACTGATAATCTACAAGTCCCTAAAATTAAGCAAATAATGTTTCTCGGAGGACTTCCGGAAATAACGTGCAGGACATTTCATGCTGGGCCTCTGGGTGCCGCTGTCGGCCAGCCAGTGGCTGGAGTGAAGCAAAACAAACCACTGGCGACTCTGACACAGCCGACTCTAGGGTTTTGAGAAATATCTCAGAAGAAGACTGCAGTCCTCTCCCCAATAGTCTGTTCCAAATAGGTCCCAAACGTCAGGATATTTAAAGACCCTGAGTGAGCCGCTGCACCTCCACTTCCAACCCAGAGCGCCTTTGTAATCCGGAAACAGAGAGCAACCGCAGCGAGGGTATTCGGGTCTGAGCAGCACCGGGAACAAAAGAGGAAGAAGCCCTATCCATACACCGGCAGCTGGCAGCGCACAGGAAGCGCGATTTCCCTGCCTGCTGACTTTATCCTGCCTAAAAAACTTGGTGATGTTCTTGAAAAGAAGTCTGTGATTCTAAATGYGGGGAATCTGCATCTCTGACCAGAAACTACTGGTAAGTGCTGATAATCCTCTTACCTACCAAAGAAAGCAGAGATCTACTTGAGAAATGCCTAAGGAAGTGTGTAAGGCACTCGAATTTGAAAATCAAATTCACTGAAAATCAGATGAAAGTTTTTGATTCATACATAGTCATCCTGGATATAAATGATAATATAATGGCTTTTGGTACAGACATTTTGTTTTGGAAATTCTGAAAAACAGCTTAATTGGTTCATTGTTTAAAGCCATCAGATTTGGATATTGATAGTAACTTTATCAGATTAGTTTCAACAACCATTCCTCCAACTCCCAGAACTAAAGGAGAGCACTCAAGCAATAAATATTCTGAATTGCTATTGAAGAAACCTTGGAGCAGAGAACCAGAGTTGCCACTTCTTAGTGGTGAGCATGGGACAGAACAGCTCTGAGCAAGAGAAAGCATTGGATGCAAATGTCAGACCTTGCATATTGGACCATGACATACAGGGTAGAGCCCAGCCTGCAGAACATACCCTTCACCACCTTGAATTCTTCGAGTGATCCTCCTTGATCTGATGACATCTTTAAGGTAGAGTTCTCCTACACTTTCTGCACAGTCTTGCAGAGCATACAGAATATACCTGCTGCTCCAAAATTACAGTAATGCTTGATTTTGAAAAAAATGACAGGAACAGCATGAGATAGAAAATTAAGAGTGGAAGAGCTCGGGAGCTATTYCAGAGTCCTAGCTGAAATGAAGATCCAGAACCATAATGCAATACAGGTGACTATCAGCCAGGTGTCTAGTCCTATTAGAGATTAGAACTGTGATTGCCTAACCAGAACAACAGAACTGACCACCCTGCTTAAATGAAGAGGTAAAAATTAGTGTAGGGAGGAATGATCCCATTGACAAAAAATTCACCTCCAAGAATTAGTATGTAATTATTTGTTACCTACTGATGAGATTCTAAGCTGGAAGAAGATTCTAATCTACAATGTCACTATCAGAGTCCCTCCTATGTCCCCCAAAATAAGCTATTCTTGTCCTCTAGCACAAGCCTCACCCTGCATGCTTTGAAAATGCTCTGGTTTTCTGAAGGTCTCCTTTTTGATCCAGGTGACCAGGAATACCCACAGAGACCTTTATCAAACAATTTAGCACTTCTGACCAGGTCTTAGGGTTCTCCATACCTCCTCTTTCTTCCTGACCAGTGACCTGGCACTGAGAGGCACTGTTGTCCTATGTTAGTGAGTGCAAAATGCAGTGGTGTTCATTGATACTAACTTTGAACTGATTCTGGGAGTAGTGATCAGGGTTTAACTGGCTCAGTGTCATCCTGAGCCTCCCTGTAATGGTGAATAACTTCTTTGAAAGTGCAAGGAGGATGCTATCAGGAGCTACAGCTAGATGAGGCCTTCTTTGACACTGCACTGCACACTACAGTCCTGGTTATCCAGTTACCAAAGTGGAGACGAACTGGGAACAAGAGTTGACTGTTCTACCACATATTTCAGGCCAGCTAACTTAGTTCTTCAACCTAGGGATTCACATTAGTTAGGTGTGTATTATGCTGCTAATAGTAACAGAGACAGAGTTTTCTGGTCACCTCCCACAGTGACAAATCATCACACTGTGTCTGGTATTAGCCAACAGTTATCAGGAGTTGCTGCTAGAAACCGCTGCCAGACAGGCAGAGCTTAAGTCTTACCTTGCTCTTGGTACTCTTCTTCACAAGGACTCCGGATATCACCCTACAMCAGCAACACTCCTGTAGCCCTGACAGTAGGGGATACTTTGGCCTCTAGTCCAAGCTAGGATTTGGACTTGCCCCAATTTAAAAGAAGAAGTTTGCTTCCCATCCTACAATCTCTGTGTGGTTTCAAACATAAAAATTTTGTTCCTTAAAATTAATTCAAGCATCTTTCAACTAGATATTCTCTATAGTGTCAGCAAAAAAGAAGCCTTAAATGTTACATTGGATTCAAATGTATTCGTGAGTTTTAATATATTTATTTAGTACATCCTTTTGTAAATCATCACTGTTTGTCTTCTGTTGTTGAGTGTAGGGGGCACTTCAAGTTTAACTTGCTGGTTTTATGTGTATTTTGATTTGTCTCATTTGCTGACAGTTCACTCGGAGAAAAGTTTTGTGTGCAATTAGTATACGTTGTGTAAAGTTATGGGGTACCTATTAAAGTGTTCCTTCCTTGCAATATTGAAGGAGGCTTATTGCATATTCAAATTACTACTACCCTTGGGCTTCATATACTTGTTTTTCAAAAATTGAGAAACAGGGGCTGGGATTGTGGCCAGTGGTAGACCACTTGCCTAGCATGTGTGAGGCAATGGTTTGATTCCCAGCACCRCAAGTGAATAAATAAAATAAAGTCCACTGACAACCAAATAAATATTTTTTAAAAAATGAGAAACTGCACAATTGGTTTAACAAGAACAAAAATTCTCTTAATGATTCCTGTGGCCTCTGATTATTTCTTTCCTCATGTTCTGAATCTTTCTTGAAAATGATGTCTAAGTGTTGGCTGCCAGTATCTGGCTCAAGTTGTTCTTGAAAATGTTCCTGAAAACTCTGGAGTACAGAGAGCTTATCATTTAATGGTTGGATAAAGATAAACAACTCACTCTAAGCCTGAGACATTTTAGATAGTAACCTTTTACTAATACTGCAATGAGTAAAAGAAAGAATCCAATGTTCTTATTTTCTTAATTAAAAAATACTGCTATTTAAGAAAACCAATTTCTTTGAAGAAAATATTGTGTGATTATTGGAGAATAACACTATCCTTATAGACTGCCTTAAAATAAAGATTGTGGCCTTTTTTCTTTTCACTTATGAAGAATATTGTCATACCTGTCTCTTAAATTTGAGTTCTGAATTATATATTCATGTAATGTTTGTAAATGAAAATCCAAGAGCCCAAGTTATCTTAGTCAAAATATATTAGCGTTGGATGAATTTAATTTTTTAAAAACTCCACTATATATAGACACTTCCAAAAGAGAAGAAAAATATGGATTGAATTAAAACATCATCTTCAAAATCCCAAGGATTTTGGTGAATATTCAAAGCACGATGGAAAGGAAACAGTGTGATCCAATTTTTGAAAGTTTAACTTACATTCTAAAAGCTTTTCTCCCTCCAATGTTTTTCATCCTTCAAAAAGAAATTGCTTTGTGTGACCTGACAAATTATCAAGTAGTCAAGATATACAACAGAGCCGGTCGCGGTAACTCAGGCCGGTAATCCYAGCTATCCGGGAGSCTGAGGCAGGAGGATCATGAGTTCAAAGCCAGCCTCAGCAAATGCCAGTCACTAAGCAACTCAATGAGACCCTGTCTCTAAATAAAATTCAAAATAGGGCTGAGGATGTGCCTCAGTGGTCCAGTGTCCCTAAATTTAATCCCTGATCCCTCCTAGAAGAAAAAAATATATATACAACAGAAAAAGTGGAGGGACAGTTTTCTCCTCTTTGTGGTATGAGAAAGTTCTTAACCCTTATTCCCTGAATGGCAAACAGAGAAAGCAGATAACTTGGCAATACTGGGATTCTCCCACATACTGCAACTGGGTGACCTTTAGATACGTTTAAGTGAACATCGCTTCTCCTTTTCTTACATATATGGTAAATGATTAATTATTCCCTTTACAGTAAGCTAAGATTTAGGAAAACGTATCAGGTGAACGAAAAAGCTTTTCTAGGAGTGCAGTAACTGGTTAGAACTCTGGGCGTCGCTGTTCACCAATCTGGCAATACCAGCACTACACGCACGCCCAATTAAAAAAAAAAAAAAAAATTGTTCCTCTTTAGACCTTCATCACTTGCCACGAAATAAAAAATGTCTRTCTGAGGCTGCCCAAACCCTAATTCTGGATGACTCTGTGCTCRGAATTGTCTTGAAAATTGAGGTAATGTAGCCTCTGAAAAGCAGAGAAAGGATACCCTTTGATGCTAGACTGACAAATTACGAATCAGAGAGCAATGGCGATTCCGGCGAAGCTGACCCGCTGCAGCGGGATGGTGATGCTGTGCCTTTTTCTGGAGCTGCTGTTGGCAGCCAGTGCCAGGAATATCCTATACTCAGTGCCAGAAGAGACAGACAAAGGTTCCTTCGTGGGCAACATTGCCAAGGACCTGGGACTGGAGCCCCGGGAGYKGGCTGAGCGCGGAGTCCGCATCGTCTCCAGAGGTAGGACGCAGCTTTTCTCTTTGAACCCGCGAAGCGGCAGCTTGGTCACCGCAGGCAGGATAGACCGGGAGGAGCTCTGCGCCCAGAGCGCACGGTGTCTGGTGAGTTTTAACATCCTTGTTGAGGATGAAATGAAACTTTTCCCTATTGAAGTAGAAATAATTGATATTAATGACAACACTCCACAATTCCAGTTTGAAGAACTGGAATTTAAAATGAATGAAATAACGACTCCAGGTACCAGGATCCCTCTTCCTTTTGGGAAAGACCTTGATGTGGGTATGAACTCACTCCAGAGCTACCAGCTCAGTTACAACCCTCATTTCTCCCTGGATGTGCAACATGGACCTGATGGGCCCCAACATCCAGAGATGGTGCTGCAGAGTCCGCTAGACAGAGAAGAAGAAGCTGTTCACCACCTTGTGCTCACTGCCTCTGATGGGGGCAGCCCAGTTCATTCAGGGACCGTCCGCATTCGTGTTCAGGTGGTGGATGTGAATGATAACCCTCCAGCCTTTACTCAGGCAGAATATCAAACGAGTGTCCCTGAGAATGTCCCACTAGGCACCCAGTTACTCATGGTAAATGCCACTGATCCAGATGAGGGAGCCAATGGAGAAGTAACATACTCCTTTCATAAWATAGACCACAAAGTGGCCCAAGTATTTCAGTTGGATTCATACACAGGAGAAATATCAAATAAAGAACCACTGGATTTTGAAGAATACAAAATTTATCCAATGGAAATTCAAGCTCAGGATGGTGCTGGACTCATGGCCAGAGCTAAGGTGCTAATCAAAGTTTTGGATGTAAATGATAATGCCCCAGAAGTGAGTATCACTTCTGTTACCACTGCAGTCCCAGAAAATTTTCCTCCTGGGACCATAATTGCTCTTATCAATGTGCATGACCAGGACTCAGGAGAAAATGGTCATATCACATGCTCCATTCCTGAAAATCTACCTTTTAAATTGGAAAAGTTAGTTGATAATTATTACCGTTTAGTAACAGAAAGAACACTGGACAGAGAACTTACTTCTGAATACAACATCACAGTAACAGCAACAGATCAAGGAAATCCAACTCTGTCTACCCAAACTCACGTTTTGCTCCTAGTGACAGACATCAATGACAATCCCCCGCTTTTCTATCAGGACTTCTATTCTATCTACATTCCTGAAAATAACCCCAGAGGGGCCTCTATCTTCTCAGTGAGAGCCCAGGATATTGACAGCAATGAAAATGCTCAAATCACTTACTCCCTGGTGGAGGACATCATTCAGGGAGCACCTTTGTCCTCCTACCTCTCCATCAACTCCGACACTGGGGTCATTTACACATTGAGATCTTTTGACTATGAACAGTTCCAGAACTTGCAACTGAGAGTGACAGCCCAAGATAGTGGGAACCCACCACTCAGCAGCAATGTGTCACTTAGCCTATTCATCCTGGACCAGAATGACAATACTCCAGAGATCCTGTACCCTGTCCTTCCTACGGATGGTTCCACTGGCGTAGAGCTGGCACCCCGCTCTGCAGAGCCTGGATACCTGGTGACCAAAGTGGTGGCAGTAGACAGAGATTCAGGTCAGAATGCATGGCTGTCCTATCGCCTGCTCAAGGCCAGTGAGCCAGGGCTTTTCTCAGTGGGGCTGCACACAGGTGAGGTGCGTACAGCAAGGGCCCTGCTAGACAGAGATGCTCTCAAGCAGAGTCTTGTGGTAGCTGTCCAGGACCATGGCCAGCCCCTTCTTTCAGCCACAGTCACACTCACCATAGCTGTGGCAGACAGCATCCCTGACATCCTGGCAGACCTGAGCAGCATCAGTACCATTGCCAACCCTGAAGACTCAGACCTCACCTTGTACCTGGTGGTGGCGGTGGCTACAGTCTCCTGTGTCTTTCTTGCCTTTGTCACTGTGCTGCTGGCACTCAGACTTCGGCGCTGGCACTCAGCACGTTTGCTCCAGGCAGCWGGCAGTGGGTTAGAAGGCATGCCTGCCTCACACTTTGTGGGCATTGAAGGAGTTCGTGCTTTCCTGCAGACCTATTCCCACGAGGTCTCCCTCACCACGGACTCCAGGAAGAGTCACCTGATCTTCCCTCAGCCCAACTATGCAGACACACTCATCAGTCAGGAGAGCTGTGAGAAAAAGGATTTTCTATCAGTACCGCAGTCTTTACTTGAAGATAAAAAGGAAACATTTTCTCAGGTAATCTTGTAGTAACTTTATAAACTATATAGATTTAAGTAATATTTTTTTTACTTACTTACTTTCACTTTTTACTACAGTTTTTTTTCTCATGTGCCCTAGTAGATTTCTATTACAGTCATTGGAGAATTGTGATTAAACAGGATTACAATTTACATTCATTATTAATTATTATTTTCACATTGAAAAGACATCTGTAATCATAGGTAGGAGATGGAGGTGTATAGTGCTGCATGTTCTTTTGGAAAGAGCACTATACTAGGAAATCAGGAAATCTAGCTTCTAACATTTTCTTTCTTGACTCTGGCCAAATTATTTCATTGTTTTGAGTTTATTGTCTTCTTATCTGAAAGAAATGGAGTTTATCTAGAAAAAAGGCTGGCCAATATTTAGAAGACTAATACTACTTTCTCATTCCTTAAGTTATAAGCATCTGATAATTTATTCAAAGCAGATGTCATCTGTCAGGATGTTGTAGTATTTTATTTAGCAACATTTGAAAAGGTGAAGATTGTCTAAAGTARTATTTTCAGTTATGTTAATTTAAAATTACAGAAATTGATATAAGCTGCAATTTTAAATTGTTGTTGAATATCTTGGTCCTTTGTTTAATCTTTTATTATGAGATATTTTATGAATGCTGAAGAATACATCAATTTAAGTAATTTCCAAAATGAGGGACMAAGTGAACCACAGAAAATTTATCTTGCAACTTGAGAACTTTTAAAGCCTCCTTATTGTACATTATGCCTATAATGAAAATGACTAACAAAAATCAAGTATATATTCCATTTTAAGTTGCATTAACTCAACAGGAAGAAATACATTTTAAAGGAGTAAGCCCAAAAGAAGTGACAGGAATACATTTTGATGATATTTATCTGTATATCCACATTCATGGCAACATTACTCACAACAGCCAAAAGGTGGAAGCACTCCCAAGTGCCCACTGACAGATGGATGGATAAACAAAATGTTATATATGTGTGTGTATACACACATGTACATCATATACATAAATACAAATAYACATACATAYATGTATAAATACAGATTAAAAAGGAAGGAAAAGGGGGAAATTTTGCCGTAATGAGACACGATGAACATTAGAGACATTGTACTAGGTGAAATAATCCAGTCGTAGAAGGACAAATACTGTATGATTCCTCTTATATGAGGCTCCTACATTATTCAAATTCACAGAGACAAAAGTAGAATTATGGTTGCCAAGTGCTGGAGGGAGGGGAACAGGAGCTTGTGTTTAATGCGGAGTTTCAGTTGGGGAGGATGAAACAGTTCTGGAGGTGAATAGTGGTGATAATTACACAATAATGTAATATGATTGTATTTAATGTCACRAATCACAACTTAAAGTGATCAAAGTGGGAAATTTTGTTATATGTATTTTACTGCAAATTTTCAAGAAATCAAGTCCACTTACCCTGCTGGTAAGATGATATTTTTTTAAAATCCACATGTGAAAGCTATGTGGAGAAGGAGAGGCCATGAGACTATAAAAACAGTCACCCAGATACCTTAGTATACCAGCTGAGCCCAGTCCTCAGATGATGCTATACAGTAACCACAAGCAAGCTAGCAAAAGAACTGAAACAACTCATCCCGTCCCAGATGGAAGATTATTGAACAAATGAATCCAAGTTGTATTAAGCCACTAAATTTTAGGAATGGTTTATTATACAGCAAAGATAACTGAAGCAATGTACATGTGATTTGACCCAGGAATGGTTTCTACTTGATATCCTTGGCCTAGGGAAAAAAATTGTATATATGGAGAGATGTCTAGTTTTTGCCTGTTGGTGCAATAACAAAGAGGAAAAGGAGGGAAGGAAATCAAAAGAAAAGAAAGTATCATGAAATAAGTCATTTAATACCCTATTATAGATATACAGGAATACATTTTTCACATTAATGGGGTTTTATACAGCAAATAAAAAGAATGTAACATAAATAAATTTCAAAATGTAATGATGAGGAAAAAGTGACTCACAGAATAAATATGGCATGCTACTATTGAATTTCAAATAAGCAAAACTGTATGGATGCAAGTATATGTAGTTAAAGAATAAAAACATGGAGCTGGAGATATAGATCAGAGGTAGAACACTTGATAAGGTCTTGGGATCAATCCATAACACTGCAAAATATAAAATAAAAGCATGGATGGGAATAATAAATGTGGTTCTGTATCCTGRATGTTGATTAGTTCTACAGAGGGAGAAATGTGGCTGTTACTAAAAAAGAGTACAAGAATAACTCATCTCTTCCCATGGTTTCATTTTTAAAATTTCAGGAAAGAATTATAAATGGTYAATGCCTTTTTAGAAATGGAGTATTTACCTTAGTCTCAAAGTATCTGTCTGTAAGAAAGTTATTAATTTAAAAAAAGAAAGTTATTAATTACAAAGGGAAACACAATAATTTTACAATAGGGAGAGCTGGAAGTTACAAGGAAGTTACCCTAGGGATCAAAGTTAATATTAACAGTATTGGGACAAATATATCATGTGCCTCCTGATAAGATGCACTGAGAAGAATACAACATCATTCCTGTAGTATTTATGCTATAACCTGAATCTAATCAGGAAAAAGAATCAGATAAACCCTAATGAAAGACATTTTACAAAATGCTGACTAGTGTTCTTCAAAAGTATAAAGTCATGGAATATTTAAAAAGCCTGATAAACTGCCTCAGATTAAGTGCTACTAAAAAGACATAATTAAATGCAGTGTGTGGTCCTGGATTGGATCCTAAGCCAGACAATTTTTTATTTTGCTTTAAAATGTCATTATTATAACAACTAACAAAAATCTGATAATTTTTATCATATTTTGTTAATGGTAGAATGTTCTTAATTCTAAAAAAACATACAAGGAAGTATTTTAAAATGAAGTATCATGTCTGAAACTTACTCTGATCCTGGGGTGGCAGGGGAGAACATGAAACCAAAATCTTAATATTTGGGGAAATGTGAGTGAAGACATGAAATCCATATCCTCAGATTTCATGTCTGTCGATTCAACCAATCATAGATTGAAAATATTTGAAAAAAAATACATTTATATTGAACATGTACAGGCAATCTTGTCATTATTCCCTAAACAATAAAGTATAACAACTATTTATATAGCATTTACATCATATTAGGTATTATTTGTAATCTAGAGATGACTTAAAGTGTACAGAAGGATATACGTGGAAATGCTATGCTATTTTATATACAAGACTTGAGTATCCTTAGATTTCAGTATCTACTAGAGCCCTGGAGCTAATCCTCCTCAGATATCAAGGGATAACTATACATGAGAATTCTTTGTGTTGTTTTTATAACTTTTCTATAAATCTGAAATTACTCAAAATAAGGTTTGAAAACCAATCTCATTTACATATGGCAACATGTCAAGATTTGATAAAGTCAACTGGWATGCACATAAACTTTGATCATTGTATTTTCTGTACTTWAAATTTTTCAAATATATTTTTGAAATAAACATATTATACAGAAGTACATAAAAATGCAAAAGACACACATGTGTTGTATTTTATGCCCTTAGAAAAAAATAAATATCAGGAAAAGGAATTAGCAACCTCAGACATCTTTGAATGATTGATTCCTAGGCTATGGTGAGAACCCCTTCCTGCTCAMGTTTTATCTAATTAACAAAGCCATCTTCAGTTTCCCTAACATTCCATGCTGTCTCTGAGATTCTACAACATTATTCAAGCCTCTTTGTCTATCCAATTGCACTGTTTAGGATTCAACTCCAATCATGTCCTGGAAGTCTTTCTTGATCCCTAAATCTAGGCTGAATAGCCTACCTCTGTATCCCCCCATTGCCCACCTTATGTCATAGCCGTTATTATACTCTATAATAAGACCTTCTTTACTATTGTGTGTCCTCTCCAATCTTTCAAGTTTCCTGAGAACAGGTTCATTGTTTCCATCTCCAGCCTGGATCAAATAAAGTGTGAAGTACATATGCCAAATTAAGGGTCTGATGATTCAGTAAATACAGGTTTGGAACTTGAATCCTAAACCATCAAGCACAGAAATTCAAGACATATAACCTTAGAAGAAAATATAGCTAGTGTTTTTAAATGGATCTTTTTTTTTTTTTGTCTCTGTACAAATAAGAAAGAGGTGGAAAATGTTTGAAACGAGAGCAACTGTAGAGTTAATTCCTTGAGCATTCAATAATACTCTAGCAACTGCTATCAAGGTCACATACCCTTAGACCACTGTTATTAATTCTGAGAAGAAGAGTTCTAGCTTCAAAGATTTATTTCTAAAGTGTCTTAGAACTGTAATATTCTTTAAAGCAATTTTGAAAAAGTCACAGCCGAACATCAACAAGATATAACSGGGATTTGCCTGAGCGGGTGTAGAAACTATCTAGGCCTCTGAGCGTCGCTGTTTACCACATAAGGAGTAAAAGGCAGGGAGACAACCAACCCAACAATACCGCTTCCACAACATAAAGGGCTGGCATTGGTCCGCAAGCTCCGGAATGGTGAAGAAACTCGGTCCGGCAGCCCGTTAGTTCTCACCACGGAGACCTGGGTCTTGTAGGTGCTGGTTGTCTCAGACCCTGGGAAACAAAGATCGGCGGAATCCCTCACTGGATGCTGGAAGTGGACTTAAAAGAAAACACCGCGGCTCTGCAAAGGGAAATGGCGTCTCTGCAAAGGTCACTGCACTACAGAAGTCTGTTCCTGCTGTGCCTTCTCTTGGCCGACCTTTGGGAGGCAGGAGCTGGGCAAATTCGCTATTCTGTGCCAGAGGAGATCGACAAAGGCTCCTTCGTGGGCAACATTGCCAAGGACTTGAGCTGGGAGCCACTGGTACTGGCAGAGCGGGGAGTTCGCATCGTCTCCAGAGGTAGGACACAGCTCTTTGCTTTGGACCCACGAAGTGGGAGTTTGATCACTGCAGACAGAATAGACCGGGAGGAGCTCTGCGCTCAGAGCGAGCGGTGTTTGGTGAACTTTAACGTACTACTGGAAGATAAATTGACCATTTTTTCAGTAGAGGTGGAAATAACAGATATTAATGATAATGCCCCTCGCTTTGGAGTAGAGGAATTGGAGCTAAAAATAAGCGAAACAAATACACCAGGATTCCGGATTCCTCTTAAGAGTGCGCATGATGCGGATGTAGGAGAGAATACCCTGCAGAAGTATGAACTCAACTCAAATGACCATTTTTCTTTGGACGTGCGAAGTGGAACTGATGGGAACAAATACCCTGAGCTAGTGCTGGAGCGTGCTCTRGATCGTGAGAAAGAGGCAGTTCACCATTTCATTCTGGTCGCTTCTGACGGGGGTGACCCGGTMCGATCTGGAACCTGCCGCATCCGCGTCAAGGTCCTAGATGCAAATGATAATGCTCCTGTTTTTACACAGCCAGAGTACCATGTAAGCGTTCCAGAGAATATGCCTGTAGGCACCCGGATACTCACAGTGACCGCCACTGATTCAGATGAGGGATATAATGCTCAAGTCACATATTTTCGAGAGAAACCTCCTGGAGAAACAGCAGCRATATTTGAGCTTAAGTCATCTGGAGAGATAACAATCATAAAAAGTCTAGATTATGAGGATGCTAAGTTACATGAAATTGATATTGAAGCTCAGGATGGTCCAGGCCTTCTGACCAGAACAAAGGTTATTGTAACAGTTCTGGACGTTAATGACAATGCCCCAGAATTTTACATGACATCTGCTACTAGCTCAGTTCCTGAAGACTCTCCTCCAGGAACCATAATTGCACTTTTCAATGTACATGATAGAGACTCTGGACAGAATGCTTTTGTCACATGTTCACTCCYAGAGAAACTTCCTTTCAAGTTAGAAAGGTCAGTGGACAATTACCACCGACTGGTTACAACCACAACCCTTGACAGAGAACAGTTTTCCTTTTATAACATCACTTTAACTGCTAAAGATGGCGGGAACCCACCTCTATCCACAGATGCTCATGTTTTGCTGCAGGTGGCTGACATCAATGACAACCCGCCCACATTCCGCAGCAGGTCCTATTCTGCCTACATTTTGGAAAACAATCCCAGAGGCACCTCCATCTTTTCAGTGTTGGCTGATGACCYCGACAGTGATGACAATGCCCGTGTAACTTATTCTTTAGCAGAGGACACCTTTCAAGGAGCACCCCTGTCCTCTTACATCTCTATCAACTCTGACACTGGGGTCCTTTATGCTCTTCGATCCTTTGATTATGAGGAATTCCAAGATATGCAGCTGTGGGTGATAGCACTGGACAGTGGTAACCCTCCACTCAGTAGCAATGTATCCTTGAACCTGTTCTTGGTGGACCAGAATGACAATGTGCCTGAGATCCTGTATCCTACCCTCCCAACTGATGGATCCACTGGTGTGGAGCTGGCACCCCGCTCTGCAGAGCCAGGATACCTGGTAACTAAGGTGGTGGCAGTAGACAGAGACTCAGGCCAGAATGCCTGGTTGTCATACCGCTTGCTGAAGGCCAGTGAGCCTGGGCTTTTCTCTGTAGGGCTGCACACTGGAGAGGTGCGCACGGCAAGGGCCCTGATAGATAGAGATGCACTCAAGCAGAGTCTCATGGTGGCTGTTCAGGACCATGGTCAGCCCCCTCTCTCAGCCACAGTCACACTCACAATAGCTGTGGCAGACAGCATCCCCGAGGTCCTGGCAGACTTGGGCAGCATTGAAACACCTGCTGATCCAGATAATTCAGACATCACACTCTACCTGGTAGTGGCAGTAGCCGCTGTCTCCTGTGTTTTCCTGGCCTTTGTCGTAGTGCTGTTGGCACTCAGGCTGCATCGCTGGCACTCTTCCCGCCAGCTTCAGACTGCTGGAGACAAGCTGGCAGGTGTACCCACCTCGMACTTCATGGGTGTGGATGGAGTGCACGCTTTCCTGCAGACTTATTCCCATGAAGTCTCCCTCACTGCAGACTCACGGCAGAGCCACCTGATCTTCCCTCAGCCCAACTATGCAGACACGCTCATCAGCCAAGAGAGCTGTGAGAAAAAGGATTTTCTATCAGCACCTCAATCTCTACTTGATGAAAAAGGAGATAAAACATTTCAGGTAAACATCTTTTCAGAACTTGCTTATTAAGTATTTTGCTAAAATAAATTTAGCCAATTATTGAGTTGCCTGCACTGTTACTATACCCATTTTATTCATATTTCCTTGAGGATGTATTTTTTTTAGTAAATGAGTCCTGGAAAATTATTCCTAGGTAATTTTACGTGTTCACAGGCTGTAAGACAGAGTAGAAGCCAATCGAGTAATTGGTGAAAACCAGTTGTTAAGAGGTGAAGGTGGTATTTAGATAATCAAAAAAAAAAAATACTGCCTCAGAGAACTGGAATATCTGCTTTCTCCCACTTTTCTACCCCTAGACAAATCATCTGCATGAATTAACAATTATTTCTGTCTTAAAAATGTGGAAGTTAGATTTCATTTTGACTCAATACTCTTCTTTAAAACAAGACTTTGGGCTCATGTTTTAATTTGTGTATAAATAATGAACATCTTGGTTAGTTCTTTCTCACTTGGTCTTAATATTTTTCTTTTCATTTGTCAGTGAAGTTCTTTATTTTCCTAATTTGCATGTCCTTACCTATTAAAAATGGAAATTTAGAAATATAGTTTTATTTTCTTTTGGTACTACAGATTGAACTGTGGACTTCTTAGCATTCTCTCTATCATTAGGTACACACCAAGCCCAGAAATAAACATTCTTTATAGTGTTTCAGAAAGGCACATCATGGTAGCTCTGCTTGGTATAAGTCTCATTAACCTCTAAAGTGGCTATGTGTTCCTTTAATAACTGATTTATCATTTGCTCTATAATAAATTGGTAAAGTGACAATAAACAGGTTTACCTTTGCTAATACTTTTTGTCTCATATCTAGAAACCAAGTTGCCTTTTATCTTTAAAAATAGTTTATATATTCAATATAACTTTTCTTAAAGAAGGGATTCAGAGACTGCATAGTACAATTGCCCCTAAAGATCTTTGTACATCTGTCTTCTCAAAGTTTCCTACTTATAGTAGCTGCTAAAGAATGTTCCAAATCCCTCACCCAATCCAAGATCCTCCCACAATTACATTTTTCTTCCACATTCTCCTTCCTATTTTGGATTTTATTATGTGGGTAATATCTTAATAACAGAAGACAATGAACACACTAATATTCTCTGTGTTGGAATCATTTCTTAATTTGATCTGGAAGTAATAATGTACTAATTGAGTCTTGTATTTAATGGTATTTAAGATTCTGTGGTTCCTTTTCATATTTAAGAGGATCTGTTAAGGGAAAGTTTGAGAAAATGTATGCCATTGTGCTCATTAATATTACACAAAATTATGTATGAGGTAAAATTGGAACATACTATGGAATAGTATATTAAAATATAGTTACTTGTAAGTAAATAATAAATTATGAACAGAGGAAAATTAAAGGCACAGTTCCTGCCAAGCATTGTGTGCATACCTATACTCTTAGCTACTCAGGAGGCTGAAGCAGGAGGATCACAAATTCAAGAAGAAGTGAAACCCAGGCTCAAAATCAATAAATAGATAAAAATGGTTGGGAATATAGTCCAGTGATTGAGTACTTGCCTAGCTTGTGTGAGACCCTGAGTTCAATACCCAGTACTGCAAAAGAGAGAAAGAGAGAGAGAGAGAGAGAGAGAGAGAGAGAGAGAGAGAGAGAGAGAAGAGATCCTTTTAGCACATGCAGTGACTCCATAAGAACAAATGTCTATGGGGCTGGGGCTGTAGCTCAGTGGTGGTGCACTTGCATAGCATGTGTGAGGCACTGGGTTCAATCCTTAGCACCGCATAAAAATAAACAAATAAAATAAAGTCATGCTGTCCATCTACAACTACAAAAAAAATTGAAAGAACAAATGTCTAATGGATAGACATTCATGTATCATGATTGAAATGACATATATGTTTTATTTGTACTGTGCATGAAGAGGAAAACATATAGGGAAAGGAATTCTAGAACATAAAATAAAAGTTGATATCTACCAGCTTCAGTTGTGGTTTTTAAAAAATCCTCATATTCTAGAGGTAGGCAAAGTTATGTTCTTTCAGTACCTTGAAGGGCTGTGATTTCTCTCTAACATCTAGACATTGTCATGCTATTCTCTCACATGAAGGCCTTTTCCCTGATCCACTCCTCTCATGTTTCCCAAGAAGGCTTTTGCTAACTTCCAAAGCCAGTTGGAGGCCGTTTCATCCCCTTGACTTTCTCCATCATAGTAGTTATCTCAGTGCACTGTGATTCCCTGTTTGCTTTTACATCCTCATAAATTCTGTGATGGAAGTGYTTGTATCTATATTGTTCACCTTCAGTACTTCAACAACTATATTGTCAGACACCCCATTGTGTGTTTGTGCAATGAATAGGTTGAATCACAAATATTAAAACTAATATGCTGAGTTATTGACAAACTTCAAGAAATGTAATCTATAAATACGGCTTGTTTATTGTGGTTCTTAAACTGAACATTTGGAATCAGTAACTCCACCAGGTTTGAAGCAAATAGGGTGAAGTTAAGGTTGGTGCGTGGCTTCCAAAAGAAAGTCTCTTGAACCTTTAATACATATCAATTCAATTATATAGTCAACACCAGTCCCCTTCCCTCTGATAAAAGGATCTTCAAATACTGAGAACCACTGAGAGTGTGCACTAAACGGTCAGGCCTCTGGGTGTCGCTGTTGACTACTCAAGAAGGAAAAACGTAACTGGAGAGCTAGTCCACCATTTCCTGGATCCTAAAACGCAAAGAACCAGCAAATCCGACTCAGAAGATTCGGAACTCTACTAAGCTCATCCCATTAATCCACCATCTCTGTGGCCTATGAATTAAACCCATGGACTTAATTCCCTGAGGAAATAAGACTGGAGTCCATCGCGGGAAATTGGAACAGAATTCAGAGAAAAAAAATTCACCAAAAAGGAAATGACCAGTTGCTTGAAATTTCGCCATGGCAGAGAACTGGCATTGCTGTGCGTGCTCCTGTGGACTCTGTGTGAGACAGGATCTGGGCAGATCCGCTACACGGTGCTGGAAGAGCTGGAAAAGGGCTCTTTTGTGGGTAACATCGCCAAAGACCTGGGGTTGGAGCCCCGGGAGCTGGCGGAGCGCGGAGTCCGCATCGTCTCCAGAGGTAGGACGCAGCTTTTCTCTCTGAATCTGCGAAGCGGCAGCTTGGTCACAAAGGAGAGGATAGATCGGGAGGAGCTCTGCGCTCAGAGCGCACGGTGTGTGGTAAAATTTAATATCCTGATTGAGGATAAGTTGAAAATTTTTGAAGTAGAAGTAGAAATTAAAGATATTAATGATAATGCTCCTAACTTTCTAACAGAGGAATTAGAAATAAAAATTGGTGAATTAACATTTCCTGGAACCCGATTTCCACTTAAAACTGCATTTGACCCAGATGTAGGCGTGAATTCTTTACAGAACTATAAGCTCGGCCCTAATGACTACTTCTCTCTGGCTGTGAATAGTGTCCCTGATGGGACCAAATACCCAGARTTGGTGCTGGAGAGGGCACTGGACCGTGAGAAAAAGGAAGTACACAAGCTTGAAGTGTTTGCCTCTGATGGTGGTGACCCTGTCCACTCTGGCCATTTATGCATCCAAGTGATAGTTTTGGATGCGAATGACAACCCACCAGTGTTTACKCAGTCAGAGTATCGTGTAAGTGTCCAGGAGAATGTGCCAGTGGGAACCCAGCTGATCACAGTGAATGCTACAGACCCTGATGAGGGATTCAATGCTCAAGTGTCCTATATTCTAGATAAAATGCCAGGAAAAATTGCTCAGGTTTTTTATCTCAACTCAGTGACTGGAGACATATCAATATTAAGAAGTCTGGACTATGAGGATACTACATTTTATGAAATTAAAATTGAAGCACAAGATGGACCAGGTCTTATTTCAAGAACCAAGATTCTTGTCACAGTTCTAGATGTGAATGACAACGCCCCAGAATTTACAATCACTTCCCTCACAGACTCAGTTCCAGAAGAGGCTACAGCTGGGAGAGAAATTGCTCTTATCAATGTCCATGACCGAGATTCTGGGCAGAATGGACAAGTCACAGTTTTTGTCCTGGGAAATCTGCCATTTAATTTAGAAAAATCAATAGACCAGTATTACCGCTTAGTGACAGCCAAATCTCTAGATCGTGAACAAGTGTCTGAATATAATATCACTCTGAGAGCCACAGATGAGGGAAATCCACCTCTGTCCACAGAAGTCCACCTCACTCTTCATGTGGCAGACATCAATGACAACCCACCTGTCTTCACTCATGCTTCCTTTTCTGCCTACATTCCCGAAAACAACCCTAGAGGAGCTTCCATCTTCTCTGTTACTGCTCAGGACCCAGACAGCGACAACAATGCCCGCATCACTTATTCATTGACTGGGGATACCCTCCAAGGGTCACCGTTGTCTTCCTATATCACCATCAACTCTAACACTGGTGTCCTGTATGCACTGCACTCCTTTGACTATGAAGAATTTAGAGATATGCAGCTACTGGTGACAGCCAGCGACAATGGGGATCCTCCACTAAGAAGCAATGTATCCTTGAACCTGTTTGTGCTGGACCAGAATGACAACATCCCTGAAATCCTGTACCCCACCCTCCCTACAGATAGCTCCACTGGTGTGGAGCTGACGCCCCGCTCTGCAGAGCCTGGATACCTGGTGACCAAAGTGGTGGCAGTGGACAGAGATTCAGGCCAGAATGCCTGGCTGTCCTACCGCCTGCTCAAGGCCAGTGAGCCAGGGCTCTTTGTGGTGGGGCTGCACACTGGAGAGGTACGTACAGCAAGAGCCCTACTGGATAGGGATGCTCTCAAGCAGAATCTTGTAGTGACTGTGCAGGATCATGGCCAGCCTTCTCTTTCAGCCACAGTCACACTCACCATAGTAGTGGCAGACAGCATCTCTGATGTCCTGATAGACCTGGGCAGCATCAGGACCACCACCAGTCCTGATGATTCAGACCTTACATTCTACCTGGTGGTGGCAGTGGCTACCGTCTCCTGTGTCTTCCTTGCCTTTGTCATCATGCTGCTGGTGCTCAGACTTTGGCGCTGGCGCTCATCCCACCTACTCCAGGCTTCAGGAGATGGGCTGGTGAGCATGCCTACTTCACACTTTGTGGGTGTGGATAGAGTGCATGCTTTACTGCAGACATATTCCCAAGAGGTCTCCCTCACCACAGACTCAAGGAAGAGTCAACTTATCTTCCCCCAACCCAACTATGCAGACACACTCATCAGCCAGGAGAGCTGTGAGAAAGGCGAGCCTCTCCTGGTATCCCAAGATTTGCTTGAAACCAAAGGAGACTCCAAGCTACTTGTGGTGAGTTATTTCTTTCTTTGAATAGTATGAAGAACAATTATGCCAACATTTTAACACACATTTATTTGAGAAATAAATCAATGAGGTAGTCATTAGTTCTGTTGTCTAAATATTTGTCCTTTTCTTCTTCTGAGTCTATGGGATGGGTATGGGAGGATTATGACTGAGTAGGTCTAGGTGATTAGTTTGGGCTAATATTCTGTGAGTGGCAATACCATATGTCACTTCTTGGAGGAAGCTCTAATTGCCATTGTCAGAATATCCAGATCACTAAGCTACACTTTGAAACTATAGCTGCAAGAACTAGGGGTGAAACTCAGTGGAAGGATGTTTGCCTAGTGTGGCCTAAGCCTTGGGTTCAATTCCCAGCACTGGAAGAAGAAAAGGAAAAGGAAAAGGAATGACAGAGGGAAGGAAGAAAGGAAGGAAGGAAGGAAGGAAGGAAGGAAGGAAGGAAGGAAGGAAGGAAGGAAGGAAGGAAATGAAATGAAATTGTGGCTGGTTCTTCTATCTGTGTCCTAATATTGATCTATATTGATCTGGTCCTTATACTTGTGATAAACAGGCCTTATGATAGGAATCAAATCCAGGGCTTTGGCTCATCCAAAACACAACTCTAATACTTAATTAAACCCTTTTTTACATTTCGTATTATTATTTATTTATTTCCATTCTGAAGATTGAACCCCAGGACCTTTTACACACTAAGCAAATGCTCTACCACTGAGTACWCGTTATTGTTGCCTGGGCTGGCCTTGAACTTGAGATCCTCCTGCCTTAGCCTCCTGAGGAATAGCCACCTTTTACATTTTAAAATCACTGTGATCTGAAGTGTGTCATTCCTAATAACAAAACCTATCCTGATTCACACAAACAAATTAAAAATTTTATAAATACAAACAAGTTAAGATATGTATATATAAAACTTAAAATTATGTTTGACTTCTTCCAAACCATATCACACTCTTTTTCATCTCAAGGATTCAAGGATGTGTGTGTGTATATATATATATATACACACACACATATACATATGGCAGAGGATTCATATTGATTCCAGTCATTTGCTTGAAGGTAAAAAGTTTTGCCTAACTTGAGGCCTAAATTGTTATGAGCCTCAGAATAGTATTTTTCTTCATCGAGAAGGGCTTTAAAAAGCAAAGATATGTTTSAGTCTCTCCAAGAGACTTCCAGACCATCCATTTCAATAATGGATTAGGAGTGCTAATCATGCTGTACAACTCTGTTAAGCCAAAAATCGTTGATGCATTTTGAAATTTATGAAATTTTTTCACTCATGTTATCATAAATGGGCATTCAAAATTGGACCAAAATATATTTACTTAGATCTCAAAGGACAAATCTCTCCCTCAGCATATTAGGAAAAGCATATTAGGTGATTAGTTTGTGTGAGACAACAGAGCCTGAAGAAAATATCTTTAAGCAGAGAAAGGTATATTCTCACTCAGATATTCAAACACATCACAGAATTAACAAGTCACTAACCTTGGCATCTTTTTAGGGAACATCTTTATAGTAAGGAGAAAAAATATATAGTGGGTATTTCCAGGGGAAATTTATAGGCTCAAAGAGAATTTTCTACAAATTTCATATGAAGCATAGCCTACTATGAAGCATTGTGTATTTTCAGGTGTATCCTGAAAATACACTGAGCATATAAATTTCCATTTACTTGTGTGTAGACAATGAAAAAGTCTCTGACACACTATTTTCAATAGAAAGGATTTTTTGAAGGACAGGCAAAATTCACTAGAAAGAAAAGGAGGAAAATACATAATAAAAGGAACAGATTATGTAAAGGCATGAACTASAGAAAACTTGTGTTAGGAAAGCAGATAATAGTCTATTTTGACTGGAGTATTAGATGAGCACTGCAAAATAGTAGAATAACTGTTTAGTTGGCATCTTAATCCATTGTTTGTTGSTGTAACAAAATACTTGAGACTGGGAAATTTATAAAAACAGATATTTGTTTAGCTGATGGTTCCAGAGTCTAGGATGTCCAAGAGAATGGTGCCATCATCTGCTTAGCATCTGATGAGAGCCTTCTTATAGGGTAATGACATGGCAGAGGGCATCAATTCACAGAGGTAGGTGCTTTTGTCATAAAGTAACTCATGTGATAACCTAATAATCCATTCATGACTCAATCACCACTCAGAGATCCAATCTCAAAATAAAATTAACATTTGGATTTGGGAATTACATTTCTAACACATAAAATTTGTGGAACACCTTCAAATTATAGCAGCATCTAAGTTGATAATGTATTTGAAATAAAGGGATTTGCTTCTCTGAATTATTCGAGACCAGGATAAATTCTAAAATAGAGTATCTAAGAATCTTCAGTATCTATCCAGGAATTACCAGTGATCAAGTCAAATCCATTTCATTCATTAATGGTGTAAACTGATGAGCCAAGAATTGCAGTTGCACATGCATTGATATATATGAAAATACTGGTCTCATAAAAACATATATGGCTTGGGCTGGGGATGTGGCTCAAGTGGTAGTGCGCTCACCTGGCATGCATGCGGCCTGAGTTCGATCCTCAGCACCACATACAAACAAAGATGTTGTGTCCGCTGAAAACTAAAAAAATAAATATTAAAAAAAACACACTCTCTTCTCTCTCTCTCTCTCTCTCTCTCTCTCTCTCTCTCTCTCTCTCTCTCTTTAAAAAAAAGCATATATGGCTTATACAAGAATGATTATTGTAAAAGCATGTGTGTGCCCAAATATTAACTGGTCCCTTTAATAAAATATCAGGTTCTTGTCTACTTTACTAGGAATGTTATGTTTTAAAAATATAAGAACAATACATTAAAATAATTCTAGAACCTTTGAACCTTTACTCCTTTTTTTTTTTTTCCAAAGACCGAGTCTTTGAAAAAGTGTTACTAGACTAATGGAGTATATATGGAGAAATTAAGATACTAAATAAGAGAAGTTACCTATGAATTTGAAGAAAGGTAAGGATCATAGCCCACTAAAAATGTAGATTAAATCCTTTAACTTGTTTGGATACACCAGTCATGTCTGAGTTCATAAATACCATATAGTAAAATCACTGAAGATATTTTTGCACCCAAAAACGGGGGGAGGGGAATGATTTATGCCTTTCRAAGGGAAAAAAGAAGACTGTAAAATGATGAAGACATTTGTGAGATTGTGAAAAACAAGAAAATTTAAAGTAAAATATGAATATTTAGTTTTTTCAAGCAAATTAAAAGACAAGGCATATAGAGGGGGAAATGTACTCTGAGGATAAATAGCTGGGCGATATCCAAAACGACCTCCAGGCGCCGCTGTTGACCAAAGGGAAGAGAACAGTTCTAATTTCTGCAGGAGAGTCAAGCCAGTGCTTTCCGTTTTATTCAGCGCATCAGAAAGCAGTCGCTGCTCCTGTGCACTCTCAAGAGCCCAGTAAATGGTCTTACCTTCGAATCACGAAAGTCTAGGGTGCTGTCATTGCCTTTTAAAAATATATCCCAGAGAAACCTTGAAAAGAAGCTTCCTGGAGAGATCAAGAAATGCAGAGGAGTGCCAGAGAAGCTGATACAATGCGAAGTCAGGTACTGTTTCCCTTCCTGCTGTCTTTGTTCTGCGGGGCCATCTCCCAGCCCATTCGATACTCAATTCCAGAGGAGCTGGCCAAGGGCTCTCGAGTGGGGAACCTCGCCAAGGATCTGGGGCTCAGTGTCCAGGAGTTGCCAGCTCGAAAACTGCGGGTTAGTGCAGAGGATTATTTCAGTGTTAGTGCAGAGAGTGGGGACTTGTTAGTGAGCGGCAGGATAGATAGAGAGAAGATTTGCGGGAGAAAATCTGAGTGTGCACTGGAATTCGAATCAGTCATTGAGAACCCAATGAATATTTTCCACGTGATTATTGATATCCAAGATATTAATGACAATGCACCATGTTTCATTGCAAAAGAGATTGAATTAGAAATTTGTGAGTCAGCATTACCAGGGGTAAAATTCCCTCTGGATTCTGCACAAGATGCAGATGTAGAAAGTAATTCACTGAAGATATATACTATTAGCCCCAATGAATACTTCTCTYTGTCGACAAAGGAAAGTCCGGATGAAAGTAAATATCCAGAATTGTTGCTGGAAAAACCTCTAGACAGGGAACATCAGAACTCCCATCGCTTAATCCTAACCGCCATCGACGGTGGGGAACCGCCTCTAAGCAGTACCACCCAGATTCGGATCAAAGTCACTGACGCCAACGATAATGCTCCGGTGTTCAGCCAGGACATATACAGAGTTAGTCTCAAAGAAAATGTGCCCCAGGGAACTTCTGTGCTGCGAGTGACKGCCACAGACCAGGACGAAGGCATTAATGCAGAGATCACCTATGCCTTCCTCAATGCTCCTACAAGTGCTAGCCTCATTTTCCATCTCAATCCAAATACGGGCGATATCACAACTAACGGTACATTGGACTTTGAAGAAAGAAATAGATACGTGTTGGGTGTGGAAGCCAAGGATGGAGGGGTGCACACAGCTCATTGTAATGTTCAGATTGAAGTTGTTGATGAAAATGACAATGCCCCAGAGGTGACATTTATGTCCTTTTCTAACCAGATTCCAGAGGACTCAAACCTTGGAACCATAATAGCCCTCATTAAGGTGCGAGACCGGGATTCTGGGCAAAATGGTCTGGTGACCTGCTATATTCAGGAAGAGGTTCCCTTTAAATTAGAATCCACTTCCAAGAATTATTACAAGCTGGTAATTGATAGGGCCCTAAACCGGGAAGAGACCGCAGAGTACAATGTTACCATCACAGCCACCGACAGGGGCAAGCCATCCCTTTTCTCCACAGCAAGCGTTACCCTCTACATCGCGGACATCAATGACAATGCGCCGGTTTTCCAGCAGGCTTCCTACACCGTCCACATAGCTGAGAACAATCCACCTGGAGCCTCCATCGCTCAGGTCAGTGCCTACGACCCGGACTTGGGCCCCAATGGCCAAGTCTCCTACTCCATCCTGGCTAGCGACCTGGAGCCTCAGGTACTGTCGTCCTATGTGTCCGTGAGCGCACATAGTGGGGTGGTGTTCGC